GGGGGAAGCGGTTTTATCAATTGTGAACTATCATGTGACATTCAAATACCCATTGAATGTCTAACTAGTCATTTTATGGTGAGCGTATTCTGATTAGGTGGGTGACGGAAAGATATTCATTATCATAGACTTGTAAAAGGTTGAAAATTTTAACTCGCATCGGACCCACCTTATTATATCTGAGTAACGTGAATTACAAATAAATACTCTCAATTAAGTACATGTAACGTGTTACCTTCTGCGTCACTAGCTTGTACCTTGTACACAGTAAAAAAATGTTGTTTATCCACCGAGACTCTTCGCCAAAGGGAATGAATCGCAAATCTAAAAGGAGCAGTGTTAGAAATCACGATCCTTTGGATGCTTCAATATATCATACATATATTTACTACTGATGGTTCATTAATTACCTGTTTTCATTGTTTCTTTAGAAGTTACTCGTGCCCTACAATAGCAACGGCAGTGGCAGTGCCGGCGCTGCTGACTGTGGCCGTGGCAGCAGCAGTGACACTGGTGGTGGCAGTGGCAGCGACAGCAACAGTGACAGTGGCAGTGGAAGTGGAAGTTGCAGTGGCAGTGGTACTGGTGGTGGCAGTATCAGTGTTGGTAGCACTGGCCGTGTCATTTTCAGTGGCAGTGGCAGTGGCGGTGGAAGTGGAACTGGTGGTGGTGGTGGTGGTGACGGTGATGGTGTTGTGGGCAGTACCGGTGGCAGTGGCATTGGCAGAAGCAGTATCAGTGTTGGTGGCATTGACAGTGACAGTGGCAGTGGCAGTAGGATTGGAAGTGGCAATGGAAGTGGAAGTAGCAATGGTGGTGGAAGTGGCGGTATCAGTGTTGGTGGTGGTGGAGGTGGTGGTTGCAGTGGTGGTAGCGATGGTAGTAGCAGTGGCAGTGGCAGTGGCAGTGGCAGTGGCAGAGGCAGTGGCAGTGGCAGTAGTTGTGATAGTGGTAGTGGCAATGGTAATGGTGAGGGCAATGGCAAGGGCAATGGCAATGGCAATGGCAAGGGCAATGGCAATGGCAATGGCAATGACAGTAGCAGTATCACTGTTGATGGCATTTTAACTCTTAGTGGCAGTGGCAGAGGCAGTGGAAGTGGCGGGGGTGGTGGTGGGGGCAGTGGCGGTGGTGGTGACAGTGGCAGTGGCTGTGGAAGTGACAGTGGAGGTGGCAGTATCAGCGTTGGTGGCATTGACAGTTACATTTTAAGTGTTAGCGACCGTGGTGGTTGCAGTCGGGATGGCAGTGGCAGTGGCAGTGCCGCTGGCGGTGACAGTGGCAGTGACAGTGGAAGTGGCATGGGCGGTATTAGTGTTGGTTGCATTTTAAGTGTTAGTTGCAGTGGCCGTGGTAGTGTCAGTGGCATTGGTATTGGCAGTGGCAGCGACGATGACGGTGGCAGTGGTGGGGGCAGTGGCGGTGGCGGTGGTGTTGGCAGTGGCAGTGTCAGTATAAGTGTTGGTGGCAGTGGCCGTGGCGGTGGCAGTGGCGTTGTTATTGGCAGCGGCAGTGATGATGACGGTGGCAGTTTTGGGGGCAGTGGCGGTGGCTGTGGTGTTGGCAGTGGCAGTATAAGTGTTGGTGGCATTTTAAGTGTTAGTTGCAGTGGCAGGGGCAGTGGAAGCGGCAGGGGCAGGGGCAGTGGTGGGGGCAGTGTTGGTGGTGGTCACAGTGACAGTGAAAGTGGAAGTAGCAGGGGCAAAGGTAGAGGAAGTGGCAGTGGCAGTATCAGTGTTGGTGGCATTGAAATATTAAGTGTTAGTGGCAGTGGTGGAGGTGGTGGTGGTTGCGATGGTGGTATTAGTGACAGTGACAGTGGCAATGACAGTGACAGTGACAGTGATAGTGACAGTGGCAGTGGCAGTGGCAGTGGCAGTGTCGTTGGCGGTGGCGGTGGCAGGGGCAGTGGCCGTGGCAGTATTAGTGTTGGTGGCATTTTAAGTGTTAGCGGCAGTGGCAGGGGCAGTGGAAGTGGAGGGGGCAGTGGTGGGGGTGGTGTTGGTGGTGAAAGTGACAGTGACAATGAAAGTGGAAGTGGCAGGGGAAAGGGTAGAGGAAGTGGCAGTGGCAGTATCAGTGTTGGTGGCATTAAGATATTAGATGTTAGTGGCAGTGGTGGGGGTGTTGGTGGTGGCGATGGTGGTATCAGTGACAGTGGCAGTGGCAGTGACAGTGGCAGTGGCAGTGTCGGTGGCACTGGTGGTGGCAGGGGCAGTGGCCGTGGCAGTATTAGTGTTGGTGGCATTTTAAGTGTTAGCGGCAGTGGCAGGGGCAGTGGAAGTGGAGGGGGCAGTGGTGGGGGTGGTGTTGGTGGTGAAAGTGACAGTGACAATGAAAGTGGAAGTGGCAGGGGAAAGGGTAGAGGAAGTGGCAGTGGCAGTATCAGTGTTGGTGGCATTAAGATATTAGATGTTAGTGGCAGTGGTGGGGGTGTTGGTGGTGGCGATGGTGGTATCAGTGACAGTGGCAGTGGCAGTGACAGTGGCAGTGGCAGTGTCGGTGGCACTGGTGGTGGCAGGGGCAGTGGCCGTGGCAGTATTAGTGTTGGTGGCATTTTAAGTGTTAGCGGCAGTGGCAGGGGCAGTGGAAGTGGAGGGGGCAGTGGTGGGGGTGGTGTTGGTGGTGAAAGTGACAGTGACAATGAAAGTGGAAGTGGCAGGGGAAAGGGTAGAGGAAGTGGCAGTGGCAGTATCAGTGTTGGTGGCATTAAGATATTAGATGTTAGTGGCAGTGGTGGGGGTGTTGGTGGTGGCGATGGTGGTATCAGTGACAGTGGCAGTGGCAGTGACAGTGGCAGTGGCAGTGTCGGTGGCACTGGTGGTGGCAGGGGCAGTGGCCGTGGCAGTATTAGTGTTGGTGGCATTTTAAGTGTTAGCGGCAGTGGCAGGGGCAGTGGAAGTGGAGGGGGCAGTGGTGGGGGTGGTGTTGGTGGTGAAAGTGACAGTGACAATGAAAGTGGAAGTGGCAGGGGAAAGGGTAGAGGAAGTGGCAGTGGCAGTATCAGTGTTGGTGGCATTAAGATATTAGATGTTAGTGGCAGTGGTGGGGGTGTTGGTGGTGGCGATGGTGGTATCAGTGACAGTGGCAGTGGCAGTGACAGTGGCAGTGGCAGTGTCGGTGGCACTGGTGGTGGCAGGGGCAGTGGCCGTGGCAGTATTAGTGTTGGTGGCATTTTAAGTGTTAGCGGCAGTGGCAGGGGCAGTGGAAGTGGAGGGGGCAGTGGTGGGGGTGGTGTTGGTGGTGAAAGTGACAGTGACAATGAAAGTGGAAGTGGCAGGGGAAAGGGTAGAGGAAGTGGCAGTGGCAGTATCAGTGTTGGTGGCATTAAGATATTAGATGTTAGTGGCAGTGGTGGGGGTGTTGGTGGTGGCGATGGTGGTATCAGTGACAGTGGCAGTGGCAGTGACAGTGGCAGTGGCAGTGTCGGTGGCACTGGTGGTGGCAGGGGCAGTGGCCGTGGCAGTATTAGTGTTGGTGGCATTTTAAGTGTTAGCGGCAGTGGCAGGGGCAGTGGAAGTGGAGGGGGCAGTGGTGGGGGTGGTGTTGGTGGTGAAAGTGACAGTGACAATGAAAGTGGAAGTGGCAGGGGAAAGGGTAGAGGAAGTGGCAGTGGCAGTATCAGTGTTGGTGGCATTAAGATATTAGATGTTAGTGGCAGTGGTGGGGGTGTTGGTGGTGGCGATGGTGGTATCAGTGACAGTGGCAGTGGCAGTGACAGTGGCAGTGGCAGTGTCGGTGGCACTGGTGGTGGCAGGGGCAGTGGCCGTGGCAGTATTAGTGTTGGTGGCATTTTAAGTGTTAGCGGCAGTGGCAGGGGCAGTGGAAGTGGAGGGGGCAGTGGTGGGGGTGGTGTTGGTGGTGAAAGTGACAGTGACAATGAAAGTGGAAGTGGCAGGGGAAAGGGTAGAGGAAGTGGCAGTGGCAGTATCAGTGTTGGTGGCATTAAGATATTAGATGTTAGTGGCAGTGGTGGGGGTGTTGGTGGTGGCGATGGTGGTATCAGTGACAGTGGCAGTGGCAGTGACAGTGGCAGTGGCAGTGTCGGTGGCACTGGTGGTGGCAGGGGCAGTGGCCGTGGCAGTATTAGTGTTGGTGGCATTTTAAGTGTTAGCGGCAGTGGCAGGGGCAGTGGAAGTGGAGGGGGCAGTGGTGGGGGTGGTGTTGGTGGTGAAAGTGACAGTGACAATGAAAGTGGAAGTGGCAGGGGAAAGGGTAGAGGAAGTGGCAGTGGCAGTATCAGTGTTGGTGGCATTAAGATATTAGATGTTAGTGGCAGTGGTGGGGGTGTTGGTGGTGGCGATGGTGGTATCAGTGACAGTGGCAGTGGCAGTGACAGTGGCAGTGGCAGTGTCGGTGGCACTGGTGGTGGCAGGGGCAGTGGCCGTGGCAGTATTAGTGTTGGTGGCATTTTAAGTGTTAGCGGCAGTGGCAGGGGCAGTGGAAGTGGAGGGGGCAGTGGTGGGGGTGGTGTTGGTGGTGAAAGTGACAGTGACAATGAAAGTGGAAGTGGCAGGGGAAAGGGTAGAGGAAGTGGCAGTGGCAGTATCAGTGTTGGTGGCATTAAGATATTAGATGTTAGTGGCAGTGGTGGGGGTGTTGGTGGTGGCGATGGTGGTATCAGTGACAGTGGCAGTGGCAGTGACAGTGGCAGTGGCAGTGTCGGTGGCACTGGTGGTGGCAGGGGCAGTGGCCGTGGCAGTATTAGTGTTGGTGGCATTTTAAGTGTTAGCGGCAGTGGCAGGGGCAGTGGAAGTGGAGGGGGCAGTGGTGGGGGTGGTGTTGGTGGTGAAAGTGACAGTGACAATGAAAGTGGAAGTGGCAGGGGAAAGGGTAGAGGAAGTGGCAGTGGCAGTATCAGTGTTGGTGGCATTAAGATATTAGATGTTAGTGGCAGTGGTGGGGGTGTTGGTGGTGGCGATGGTGGTATCAGTGACAGTGGCAGTGGCAGTGACAGTGGCAGTGGCAGTGTCGGTGGCACTGGTGGTGGCAGGGGCAGTGGCCGTGGCAGTATTAGTGTTGGTGGCATTTTAAGTGTTAGCGGCAGTGGCAGGGGCAGTGGAAGTGGAGGGGGCAGTGGTGGGGGTGGTGTTGGTGGTGAAAGTGACAGTGACAATGAAAGTGGAAGTGGCAGGGGAAAGGGTAGAGGAAGTGGCAGTGGCAGTATCAGTGTTGGTGGCATTAAGATATTAGATGTTAGTGGCAGTGGTGGGGGTGTTGGTGGTGGCGATGGTGGTATCAGTGACAGTGGCAGTGGCAGTGACAGTGGCAGTGGCAGTGTCGGTGGCACTGGTGGTGGCAGGGGCAGTGGCCGTGGCAGTATTAGTGTTGGTGGCATTTTAAGTGTTAGCGGCAGTGGCAGGGGCAGTGGAAGTGGAGGGGGCAGTGGTGGGGGTGGTGTTGGTGGTGAAAGTGACAGTGACAATGAAAGTGGAAGTGGCAGGGGAAAGGGTAGAGGAAGTGGCAGTGGCAGTATCAGTGTTGGTGGCATTAAGATATTAGATGTTAGTGGCAGTGGTGGGGGTGTTGGTGGTGGCGATGGTGGTATCAGTGACAGTGGCAGTGGCAGTGACAGTGGCAGTGGCAGTGTCGGTGGCACTGGTGGTGGCAGGGGCAGTGGCCGTGGCAGTATTAGTGTTGGTGGCATTTTAAGTGTTAGCGGCAGTGGCAGGGGCAGTGGAAGTGGAGGGGGCAGTGGTGGGGGTGGTGTTGGTGGTGAAAGTGACAGTGACAATGAAAGTGGAAGTGGCAGGGGAAAGGGTAGAGGAAGTGGCAGTGGCAGTATCAGTGTTGGTGGCATTAAGATATTAGATGTTAGTGGCAGTGGTGGGGGTGTTGGTGGTGGCGATGGTGGTATCAGTGACAGTGGCAGTGGCAGTGACAGTGGCAGTGGCAGTGTCGGTGGCACTGGTGGTGGCAGGGGCAGTGGCCGTGGCAGTATTAGTGTTGGTGGCATTTTAAGTGTTAGCGGCAGTGGCAGGGGCAGTGGAAGTGGAGGGGGCAGTGGTGGGGGTGGTGTTGGTGGTGAAAGTGACAGTGACAATGAAAGTGGAAGTGGCAGGGGAAAGGGTAGAGGAAGTGGCAGTGGCAGTATCAGTGTTGGTGGCATTAAGATATTAGATGTTAGTGGCAGTGGTGGGGGTGTTGGTGGTGGCGATGGTGGTATCAGTGACAGTGGCAGTGGCAGTGACAGTGGCAGTGGCAGTGTCGGTGGCACTGGTGGTGGCAGGGGCAGTGGCCGTGGCAGTATTAGTGTTGGTGGCATTTTAAGTGTTAGCGGCAGTGGCAGGGGCAGTGGAAGTGGAGGGGGCAGTGGTGGGGGTGGTGTTGGTGGTGAAAGTGACAGTGACAATGAAAGTGGAAGTGGCAGGGGAAAGGGTAGAGGAAGTGGCAGTGGCAGTATCAGTGTTGGTGGCATTAAGATATTAGATGTTAGTGGCAGTGGTGGGGGTGTTGGTGGTGGCGATGGTGGTATCAGTGACAGTGGCAGTGGCAGTGACAGTGGCAGTGGCAGTGTCGGTGGCACTGGTGGTGGCAGGGGCAGTGGCCGTGGCAGTATTAGTGTTGGTGGCATTTTAAGTGTTAGCGGCAGTGGCAGGGGCAGTGGAAGTGGAGGGGGCAGTGGTGGGGGTGGTGTTGGTGGTGAAAGTGACAGTGACAATGAAAGTGGAAGTGGCAGGGGAAAGGGTAGAGGAAGTGGCAGTGGCAGTATCAGTGTTGGTGGCATTAAGATATTAGATGTTAGTGGCAGTGGTGGGGGTGTTGGTGGTGGCGATGGTGGTATCAGTGACAGTGGCAGTGGCAGTGACAGTGGCAGTGGCAGTGTCGGTGGCACTGGTGGTGGCAGGGGCAGTGGCCGTGGCAGTATTAGTGTTGGTGGCATTTTAAGTGTTAGCGGCAGTGGCAGGGGCAGTGGAAGTGGAGGGGGCAGTGGTGGGGGTGGTGTTGGTGGTGAAAGTGACAGTGACAATGAAAGTGGAAGTGGCAGGGGAAAGGGTAGAGGAAGTGGCAGTGGCAGTATCAGTGTTGGTGGCATTAAGATATTAGATGTTAGTGGCAGTGGTGGGGGTGTTGGTGGTGGCGATGGTGGTATCAGTGACAGTGGCAGTGGCAGTGACAGTGGCAGTGGCAGTGTCGGTGGCACTGGTGGTGGCAGGGGCAGTGGCCGTGGCAGTATTAGTGTTGGTGGCATTTTAAGTGTTAGCGGCAGTGGCAGGGGCAGTGGAAGTGGAGGGGGCAGTGGTGGGGGTGGTGTTGGTGGTGAAAGTGACAGTGACAATGAAAGTGGAAGTGGCAGGGGAAAGGGTAGAGGAAGTGGCAGTGGCAGTATCAGTGTTGGTGGCATTAAGATATTAGATGTTAGTGGCAGTGGTGGGGGTGTTGGTGGTGGCGATGGTGGTATCAGTGACAGTGGCAGTGGCAGTGACAGTGGCAGTGGCAGTGTCGGTGGCACTGGTGGTGGCAGGGGCAGTGGCCGTGGCAGTATTAGTGTTGGTGGCATTTTAAGTGTTAGCGGCAGTGGCAGGGGCAGTGGAAGTGGAGGGGGCAGTGGTGGGGGTGGTGTTGGTGGTGAAAGTGACAGTGACAATGAAAGTGGAAGTGGCAGGGGAAAGGGTAGAGGAAGTGGCAGTGGCAGTATCAGTGTTGGTGGCATTAAGATATTAGATGTTAGTGGCAGTGGTGGGGGTGTTGGTGGTGGCGATGGTGGTATCAGTGACAGTGGCAGTGGCAGTGACAGTGGCAGTGGCAGTGTCGGTGGCACTGGTGGTGGCAGGGGCAGTGGCCGTGGCAGTATTAGTGTTGGTGGCATTTTAAGTGTTAGCGGCAGTGGCAGGGGCAGTGGAAGTGGAGGGGGCAGTGGTGGGGGTGGTGTTGGTGGTGAAAGTGACAGTGACAATGAAAGTGGAAGTGGCAGGGGAAAGGGTAGAGGAAGTGGCAGTGGCAGTATCAGTGTTGGTGGCATTAAGATATTAGATGTTAGTGGCAGTGGTGGGGGTGTTGGTGGTGGCGATGGTGGTATCAGTGACAGTGGCAGTGGCAGTGACAGTGGCAGTGGCAGTGTCGGTGGCACTGGTGGTGGCAGGGGCAGTGGCCGTGGCAGTATTAGTGTTGGTGGCATTTTAAGTGTTAGCGGCAGTGGCAGGGGCAGTGGAAGTGGAGGGGGCAGTGGTGGGGGTGGTGTTGGTGGTGAAAGTGACAGTGACAATGAAAGTGGAAGTGGCAGGGGAAAGGGTAGAGGAAGTGGCAGTGGCAGTATCAGTGTTGGTGGCATTAAGATATTAGATGTTAGTGGCAGTGGTGGGGGTGTTGGTGGTGGCGATGGTGGTATCAGTGACAGTGGCAGTGGCAGTGACAGTGGCAGTGGCAGTGTCGGTGGCACTGGTGGTGGCAGGGGCAGTGGCCGTGGCAGTATTAGTGTTGGTGGCATTTTAAGTGTTAGCGGCAGTGGCAGGGGCAGTGGAAGTGGAGGGGGCAGTGGTGGGGGTGGTGTTGGTGGTGAAAGTGACAGTGACAATGAAAGTGGAAGTGGCAGGGGAAAGGGTAGAGGAAGTGGCAGTGGCAATATCAGTGTTGGTGGCATTGAGATATTAAGTGTTAGTGGCAGTGGTGGAGGTGTTGGTGGTGGCGATGGTGGTATCAGTGACAGTGGCAGTGGCAGTGACAGTGTCGGTGGCACTGGTGGTGGCAGTGGCAGTGGCCGTGGAAGTATAAGTGTTTGTGGCATTTTAAGTGTTAGTGTTAGTGGAAGTGGTGGGGGCAGTGGTGGTGGCGGTGTTGGTGGCATTGGTAGTGGCAGTGGTAGTGCCAGTGCCAACGCTAGTGCCAGTGGCAGTGGCAGTATCAGTTTTTGCGGCATTGACATTTTAAGTGTTAGTGGCAGTGGTGGTGGCGGTGTTGGTGGCTGTGGCTGTGACTGTGGCAGTGGCAGTGGCAGCGTCGTTGTTGGTGGCATCGATATTTTAAGTGTTGGTGGAGGTGATGGCTGTGCTGGTGGCAGCAGTGGTGGTGGTGGCACTGGCAGTGGCAGTGGCGGTTACAGTGGTAATAGCAGCGGCCGTTCCAGCGGCAGCGATAGTCGCAGCGGTAGAGACAGCAGCAGTGGTTGCGGCAGTGGCAGTAGTGGTGGCAGTGGCAGTGGAAGGGTTTGTTTTCTTTTTTAACAAATCAAGATAATTCAAGGAAATCACTTTTGATATACCAGATTTGTTTGTGCATATGCGTATGGACACCCGTTGCGATTTTTCGTTTGTTTGTTTGTTTTTTAAATCTCGTCTTTGAGGCAGCGATCTTTTTTGTTTACACCAAGAATCGAGACCTCTGGGCGAAATTAGAATGTGAGTTAGTATCAGTGGTCAGGTGCGTACGTGGCTACGTACAATGTAATAATGCTCTCTGTTCTTACTCAAGCAATTCACTCGAAGTACTTGTCGTTTCATCGACAGAAATTAGCAATGAGAGATTAAATATTAAAAGAATATTCTATTGCTTGACATCTTCATGGTACTTACATTATGCTTGTTTTCAACGAATGGAATTTAGTGGAAACTCCTAATAGTTCAAATTCTCTGTGATTGCCAATTCTTTACTTACGACCTTTAACGGTCTGCCAGTTGATTTGGAGGGAAATATATACACTTAGCCAAGCCTAAAAGCGTAACACCAGTAAAATACTAATCAATCATTTACTGTAAACAATGACCTTTAAATAAATTCAATAAATTCTTCGTTTGCACTGTCACGCAATAAGAAAAATATTTCGAAAACCATTCAGTGTATAAGTTCAAGGCATTGTGAGAGATATTCGTCGAAATATTTTGCACAAATTTACAAAGCCAAATATGGAGCCGCCAATTTCGGTGTACCTCCGTTGTACACATACATGGCGACCAGAAAATAGCGTAAATATCTGGAACTTACTATGGAAATCTATGCGACTGATGTTCTGAACTGAGTAAGCAAACATTTAAATAAGCACTAATTCCCTAATACTTTAACTTTAAAAAAGCTAAAAATCACGATATAAGTATTTATTATATGGCAAGGTAGTCTTGGGGTAAATCGGTGCCTACTGATTGGTTCTTTCTTGGTCGGGATTTCGCAAAGAAATTGCCTAAAAGATTGATATTTTACAGAGCTTACAACATCGAAGAGGAAGACGAATATTCACCAAGCGAATTTTATTATCCTGAAGATCTGGAAAAGTCTGATGTAGAAATTGAAAGAGGCATGAGCGAAAGTCAGGAGGTCATAGACGATTTTATAAGCAAACAGAAAAGTGTAAACACAAATAAGAAGACGGCTTCTGATATGAAAACTCTTCTCCGCTACATGGAAACTAACGGTATGGCAAATGAATTGAAAGCCTTCCTGTATCGGAGCTTGACCACCTTTTTTCCAAATGTTTTATGAACGTACGCAGGAAAAATGGAGAAGAGTACGAGCCAGCAGCAATTTCCCATTTTCAGAAGAAATATCCATTCAAGATACGATGAGATTGAAAAATCGAGAAGCATACTAGCTGCGAAGTGCAAGTCACTGGTTCACGAGCACGGGAAAGGGAAAAAGCCGCTCAGGCGATTGACGATAACGAAGAAGATGCTATTTTTGAAGCGGGAGAACTCGGTGACTTCAATCCAGTTGCACTTGAAAGAACTGTATGGTGTTTTTTATCCCTACACTTTGGTTTCCGAGCAAGAAATGAAGGTCGTTAGTTACGCTGGGGAGACGTTCAGCTTCAACAGCAGAATGATAGTCAAGAAATATCTTGGTTTGTTAGCCGAGCGAGGTACGAAGACCCGACATCGTCAGAAACAAGAACACCAAAGAGCATTCCAGCCTAAACTTCATGTCACCCATACGGAGAGATGTCCAGTCAGCTTCTACAAGAAATTCCGCAGTCGTCGGCCAGTACAGATGAATGCACCACATTCACCCTTTTTACTTGGCGGTCCGACATAATCGACATAGTCCTCAAGACTATGTTACAAAAACCGAAGATCGTAAACGGACAATGCCTGGCATATTATTCAAATGTAGTCTGTACAAAATGGACTGTACCGGTTTCACAAATCGGCACCTATATCAACGTACGCCCGAACATGCCAGCTTAAGGTCGTTCGCGCTCAAAATGTTTCAACGAATATATCTTTTTTAACTTGTCATGAACTAAGGTAAAGGTCAGCTTTTGCCAAAAAAAAAAAAAAACGAAAACGTAAACAAAAACAAAACTATGGGGTTACCATGCTCGTTAAAGACCATGCGTTTCAGAGGTTTTGTTAATTTTAAGACGAAGTTAGCTTACAACTATCAGACATAAAAAAGAGCTCCATTAGTGAAATTTAGATCAGGTAAACGTACTCAATAAACACAACTAAGTATATTACGTTTACTTTTGGAGCTAATGCCTTTCCTTGAGGTCGAATAGGAAATATTAGCCTTGTCCGGCCACATTCCAAGAAGACTCCTCTCACACAAGAGCAGAAAAAGTAAAATAATTATAACTTCTCACGAATTGACTTTTCTTGTTGTTTTGTAAAAGTGGATAAAATCGGGAAAAGAATTGACCTACGGAAAGAAAAATGGGGTTCAACCGGCATCCAAGAGATTAAATTGCAGGCGAAGTTAGCGCTCCCGGTACCAAGCCCCATACGCGCTTATATCTATTCCTTAGTGCGCGCGCTTGATGTATGACATCGGTGACCATGGACAGGAATTTCGTGCGCAGAAAGGATGCGCAGTAACAATGAGCGCGAACATCCTCAAGATCTTGAACAATCGCAATAGCAATCAGATTCAATTGGGCCGAAATTATTTAATAATGTTTAGTACATTTGAATCATAACATGTAGATTGGAATACCATCTAATGATATTCAACGCTTTAAGAAAACTTTGGCGTTTAACAAACTTTTAACAAACATATTGAGGGCTCAAGTTTAGAGCTCGTTACGTTCACGGTTTTTTTTTTTTTTTTTTTTTTTTTGAAGTTGACTAATATCCAAGTGCTGGTTTCCGATTGGATCGCCGCGAGGTTCTTGTCAGGTTAACTTGTTGTAAACAGTGCTGGGTTGTTCGGAAGCCGGTTAACGCTAACCCAGGATTAAATGTTAACCAAGGTGTAAATGTTTCATTTGTTCAAATATTTTTCATGCTTTTGTTTTGTGTATTTTGAGATTATTCAAACTCAAAACAGAAGGGCAAACAATATACAGAAAACCTCACCCCAAATTTCCAAACCTCAAATCAAAACTCTCGCTCATCCTGGGTTAGCTTAATCGGGCTTTGAACAACCCAGCCCAGGAGCTCCGCTTTTAGACTTGGCTAAATCTATATATTATTTCTTGTTAAAAACTATAGTAGCAAACAACCGATCGGCCTGTCCCTTGACAAATAGTTTGGAAATGACTTGGACGCGAATTTTAATGAATCGATTTATTATTGTTATTGTTACTAGTTTGCAAACTGTGTGAGGTTGTTAGGCGTAAGTGAAGAAGAATTATTTTCTTAAATTCTGACTTTAAGAATGGAAAAAGTGGTCCCTTATAGCTTTCAATTGAAGTCCATTCGTTGACAACAATTTATGACAGTTTTCGCCGATTAAATTACAAAACAGAGAATATTTATTTCACAGAACTTACCCCATTTTACAAATTTCTGTCGTGGAAACCACACATATTTATAATGCATAGTCTCTATACAAGCTGATTTCCGTACGAGTTTAATGATCGCTACGATCATAACGTGGCGATCGTCTGTATGGAGAATGGCTATGATATGAATCGCTTAACTTCTTCCGCAGCGATCGCCATCAACGATACGAAAACCCGCCCTGAAGCACCGCAAACGCCCTAGTTTTTCATATGTTGTTTGAAACATTTCCAGTCTGGGACAGTTTTGACAAATAATCAGACAACAAAGGGCAGTAAAATCTGAATGTCTTACGGGTTATGTTTTGGTGACCGTATGTGGCGGTGGCGTAGGGGGCGGAAAAACTATCCCTTTCATTGACTTGGCCGTGAAAAATATCACCTGCATGGCATTGCACCCGATCATTTTAGTTTTTTGGAGCCAAGTAATTCAGCCATTAGTGCCATCTAATAATGATTTTCGCTGCGCACATCCTGGCTTTGTCCTTCTTAACAGTCACTGTTCGAGGAGGTAGAGTCATGTTAATGTACAGTATCTATTTTGCAGTTGTAATTCCGTGTTCTCTTTTTGTGCCGTTTCTGTCCTGTCTTCTACTGAGTCCCTGTGGCGGATTATTTTTGTTCTTATTTTTTTCTTATTTCTATCCGTATTTTTATTTTAACCATATTGTACGAGAAAAGTCAGCTGGGTAATTAAAACACACGAAATCAGTAAAATGAAAAAAGTGAGGTTTCGCCATTTCTTTTCTTTCAGAGCAAGTCACCTTGCTGTTCGTTGGTGACATCTCTTTCTCTGGTCCTGTGAAGTATTACGTAGAACATAATTACCACTAGTATAACGACTCGTTCAGAGATATGGCTCCTTTCATCAGAGAGGCGGACATTTCAGTCGCAAATTTGGAGTCTCCTTTTGTCAGCAAAGACGTGTATCGCTACAAGTACAAAGGAGAAAACGGGGTTTACCTGTATTCAAGTCCTGAAGCGGCCTCGGCCTTGAGGTACAGTAACCACACTTAGTAGTTTCGGTCGTGAATATATGCATCTCCTCGATAGACCAGCTGTAATTATCAATTATAACAAGTGGATTTTCTTAGACGGCATAAACTGTAAGGGAAGATATCATACATTATTAAATTCTTAACCTCGGATAATGCAATTCTAGCTTTCTGATTGGTTCGCTGGATCTCGGTTACCAGCCAGTATACTTACGTTTGACCTTATATGGAAATGAATGCGGTAAATATCGCTCGGCATAAACTTTTTCACTGGAAGCCAAGTTTCGTCGATAAAAAAAAATGGATGAAAAAAAGCAGATTCGGTGAGCTATCTACCGAAGAAATATAGAAAATTATGGACAATGCCGTCCCAGTAACAACAAAAAAGCCACAAAGTTCGAGATTAGCTTATTTAACGGTACGTGCACGTTAAGTTTCCTTTAAAAGTTGCAAAATTAAAATATGACCGTCACATTCATGAAGATTATGTAAAAAAAACAATGTTTACCTTAACAAAATGGCTTGTTAGTCCTGGTGGCACCAAATTTCGAAACCGATATAAGAAACGTCAAAGGTAGAACTGAATGTTTGTTTGAAATGTTTTTACACGTCCGCGAGGAAGAAAGATGGCACGTATTGCGAAATCCCTTAGAGCCGCCATTGATCATTTTCTTCGATCGCCGCCGCACAACAAACCGTTTTCCATTTTCTCTGACCAGGCAAATAAATTATTAGAGCATTTGTAAAAGGCCTCAGGAAAACAGGCATAATTGCCGGTGTAGTCCATAAGAAACCAATTTCCAATGAGCAGATGAGGAAACTGTTCGACTAGAGCGAGCTCGGATCGGCCGAGAGCAAAAATCCCGCACGGTTGCAGAGGACGACCCGAGTTTTAACTCGCTCTCTTTTTTGGCCGACGAGGACGGGAGAATCGACGACAGCTGCGCCAACAATTCTGTCCTTGCGAAAAACACCTCAAGGAGTTGAGTGTTTTGAAGTGAACCGAAGTAAGCCCGGTTCTTTACCAGCCACGAAAAACCATCAGGGCGGCCTCGGAGATTCTGAAGATGAACCTGACGCTGAGATAGTTTCTGTCCCTGACTCTGAATCTGGCCAACAATGAGCTCCACACATACAGCTCGAAATGCCAAGGCTTTCAAAGTAAGGGAATTCTGAAAGAGGTCTTGTCGAGGATAATTTTGGCTCAACGTCTTTGTCACAGGGCGATCAAAGTTTTCCGCACCATTATTACAACGGCAATGTGCAAGTGGACAATTATTCGGCTCTTCTCCATGACTCGAGCTTGAACGCTTTTCAAACTTTCTGTCCAGGGATATATTTCCTTCATTTGATAGACGTTCCTTGTATTCTACTTGATTGTAATTTCACTCACAAATTCGCTTGCTTCACTTTCAAATTTTTCATTCAACTAATAACCCTTTTCACGGTTACCTTTGCTCATTTGCATCACAATAAAATCTAGCATGTATGTGAAGCAATTTCGGGCTATTTTGTAGTTTTAGCCCGAGATTGCCTCGCATCCACGTTGGATTACATTGTAATGCAAATGAGAAAAATTAACCGTGAAAAGGGCTATTTTACAAACGGCGCGCATGTCATGTGATTTCACACTTGTTGTTGTTTTTGCCACATCGACTTCCGGTCGCTTTGTAAAATTAAAATCCAATAAAATTAAGCTATAATTTCCAAGCATACAAACGCACCGAATTTAATAAAACAATTATTCCATTCGCGCTTGTTGGATATGAGATTGGTTATGGCCAACTCGGCCCTACGGGCCTCGTTGGCTATTTCCCATCTCATATCCAACGTGCGCTCATGGAATAATTGTTAATTATACTTTTAACTGTGAGAGGAAAAGAAGAAGAGAGAAAAGTAATGTTGCTAGTAATGTTGGGAGTTCGTAATATACCCGCCGTATATAGAAAAGATGTAAAGAAACGTTTTGATGCATCATATATTCGAACTGCGGGAGAAAGATCAACAGACAGGAAAGATCATAAATTGTCAGCTGTAAATCGATTTTGAGCTGTATTTAACTAATAAGGAAGCCTCGTCTGTGCTCTGCCCTATTGTAAAGCACACAGGAAGCGTTAGAGCACGAAAGAAGTTTAGGAGAAAACACGAGACGTAGTCGAGTGTTTCTTTCTATTTCTTGAGTGCTGTACCTCTTTCCAAGTGCTTGACAACGGAACAGAGCACACTGGAGGCTTCTTTATTTGTTTTATGATAAAGAATCCATTAATTTCCATACACATTCAGCTAATATTTTCAACCAAACGTTTTTTTTCTTTTGCAATACGGCACGATTTTTATGCTACTGATAAGATACAAGATTAACTCTATTCTTTGCCAAACAATACTTACTCTGCTTACATTTCGTTACATTACGCTACAATGCAATGCACTACATTGTATTATATGACATGACTTTACATTAAAGTACAATACAATACATTAATAACATGAGGTGATATTACAGTCCGCTACAATTGCATTTTAATGCGTAAATTAGAATACCCTCCTACTTATATAATATTTAC